TTATTATTATTATTATTATTATTATTATTATTGCATTATTTTTACTTGATGTTTATTCTAAGAACAACGCGCACAACATCAATAAACATCTTTCCAGCCCAATCCACTAAACCGTGGCTCACTTCAGGCTGTCACTGCTGTTTCTTTACACCTTCTGGTCATTAGCAGCATAATGTGTCCATCAGTGGCTTTTCTCTTTAAGGCCAAGCAGTTACATGCGACCCTTTTGATGTCCCAACTTAAAAAAAAAACTGGTTCAAACAGTCCACACTTCCGAACCGGTGCGAGAAAACCCAGCTTTAATTCACAACCTGTAAATAAAACATTAAAACACACAATATTCAGTGTTATATTGTAAAACACGTTTTAGTGTTTGATTTGTTTTTCATTTAGAAACGAAAAAAGTGCGCGTTTAAAGTAAAAGAAAACGATAAAAATGTGCTTAGTTAAACTACATATTTTTATCTTTTTTTTAAATCATGATAGAGTGTGRTAAGAAAACTTTTTGTTTTTATTTTTGGTGCCTTTAAAAAAATTCATCATGGAGATAGTTTCGATTCTTGTCCATGTGTGCGTTTTTTCCCCCTTAATTAATTTCAAAAACTATAGTGACAGGAGTGAAGAAAGAAGCCGTAAAAACAAAGATTTGAAGCCTCGTTCAAATAACAGCGCGCGACGTCAGCGCACTTATCCGAGAGGGAGGGAGGGAGGGAGGGAGGGAGGAGGAGAGAGAGAGAGCGCTGTTTGGCGTGTGGTTTGTACCAGAGGGGTGAGATTTGAGAAATAGGAGGGGCTTCTAAACGACTAGAAATGTCAATCTGAGCAAGGGAGTCCCAATAATCTGAAGCAATCTGTAAGGACCTGACCTTAGTCCATCCAGATCAATAGGGAAGTGAGGGTGGAAAGAAGACGAAGAGGAAGAAATCAGTGGGGCGCAAAGCGGATCGTTTCCCACTTGGAACTATAGACTCGCCTGTCCGCGCGCTGGCTGCCACCTTTTGTCGCGCGCACATGCTCAGACTGTAGAAAAGAAGAAGAAGAAGAAAAAGTGGATATCCAGGCAGTTCCATTGCTTTGTGTGACTTGCAGCAGACTTCTCCTCGTCCCCCTCCCTTCCCTCTCCGCTCTCCGACATGTCTTTCCCTCAGCTGGGATACCAGTACATCCGGCAGATCTACCCGCCGGAGCGTCAGGGGATCTCCAGCGGCGGCCGAGCCGGCGCGGAGCTCAGTCCGTCCGGCGCGCTTTCCAACGTCCTCACCAGCATGTACGGATCTCCGTTCGCCGCCGCGGCGCAGGGCTACGGAGCGTTCCTCCCTTACTCCAACGAGATTTCCATCTTCAATCAGTTGGTGAGTCCGTTGTTGCTGTGATTTGTTTCAAGTTTAGAACTTTTTTTGCGCAGGAAAAACAAAAACAAGAAAAAATAAAAGAAAAGCGCGCGTGCAGGGAAACTTTTTTTTTTTTCTGGTGCAGAACTTTCAGAGCGCTGAGGTGAACTTTGTAGTTAGAAGTGGTTAAAAAGTCACGCATTAACACCTCCAGTTTGCGCTTTTTTTATTTTAGTCCCGCTCGGCATTTACTGAAAGTGACTTCCAACAAAACAATAAATTGATACAATTAAATGAAATGATAGAGAATAAATATTTACGGTTGAAACAGCTCAAAAAGTTGGTCCAAATGTTTGTGGGACACTTTCAGTTTTGATGATAAAGTGTCTCGTGCTGGCTCATCACTTCTCACCAATCCCCGTGTTTGTCTCCTCAGGGTGCTCAGTACGATCTGAAGGATGGTCCCGCTGTCCAGCACCCGGGCTTCGCCCCCCCTCACCCCGCATTTTACCCATATGGCCAGTATCAGTTCGGTGACCCGTCCAGACCCAAAAACGCCACCAGGGAGAGCACCAGCACCCTGAAGGCCTGGCTCAGCGAGCACCGCAAGAACCCCTACCCCACCAAGGGCGAGAAGATCATGCTGGCCATCATCACCAAGATGACCCTCACCCAGGTGTCCACCTGGTTCGCCAACGCCAGGAGGAGGCTAAAGAAGGAGAACAAGATGACGTGGACCCCTCGGAACCGCACCGACGAAGAGGGGAACGTGTACGGCAGCGACCACGAGGGGGAGGAGGGGGACAAGCGCGAGGACGAGGAGGAGATCGACCTGGAGAACATCGACACGGAGAATATCGAGAGCAAGGACGACCTGGACGACCAGGACGACCTGCATTCAGACCTGAAACTGGACGGGAGGAGTGACTCGGAGGTGTCTGACGGCTATGAGGATTTACAAGGGCCGGAGCAGAGGTTTCTGAAGGCTGTGGGGAAGGAGGGCAAAGAGGCGCAGAGAGGAGGGGGGCACCACTTCCACCATCACCACCACCACCACCTCCACCATCCAGCTATGGACATCAAAGCGGCCCAGGCGCACGAGGAGCAGCTGAAACTGAACCCGGCCTCCGCCGGCTCCCCGCCCTCAGAAAACAACCCTGCCCCGGCCCAGAAGCCAAAGATCTGGTCCCTGGCAGAGACCGCCACGGCCCCGGACAATCCGCGCAAATCTCCCCAGAGCGGCAGCCCCGCGGCGGCGGCCGCCCAGAGCATCATGGGGCCGCACAGACTCATCTCTTCTTGTCCCGTTGGGAAAATCCAAAACTGGACGAACCGAGCCTTTTCCGCGCACCAGCTGGCTTTACTGAACTCCAGTCA